CTTCTGATATTAGTACTGACCCGGCCCACGACTCTTGATACACATTTTTAACACCCTACCCCACCCACCGAGAGCTGTTCCTATATGACACATTTTTAACACCCTACCCCACCCACCGAGGTATGTTCCTGTATGACACATTTCACATTTTTAACACCCTACCCCACCCACCGAGAGCTGTTCCTATATGACACATTTTTAACACCCTACCCCACCCACCGAGGTATGTTCCTGTATGACACATTTTGCATTTTGAACACCCTAACCCACCCACCGAGAGCTGTTCCTATATGACACACTTTTAACGTACCATCGCACCCACCGAGAGCTGTTCCTATATGAGACATATTTAACAGACTATCCCACCAACCGAGGGCCGTTCGTACCTGATCCGACAGCGAACCCTCGCTGACACGAGGATGCTTCGGCGCCCCCTGCTGGCGTCCCTGCCGCAACATCGGCGTGCGCCTCACGCACGGGCCGCTCCGTGCGGAGCAGTAGCTGTCAGCGTTGCTGCTGTCGCTGCGTGCAGCCTGCGCAGATCGACGGTCTAGCGGCGAGCTCCCACACCCTGACCTGTCGCTCTCATCTACAAGATCGGTGGTCGAGGACAGAGACGGGGTGACGAACCGTGCAACGAGACAGCACGACTCACGTGGCCAAACACCGAGGTGGGACGAGGCGAGACAGAATGATGAGTCACAGTGTGAGACGGAATGATGAGTCACAATGTGGGACGGAATGATGAGTCACAATGTGGGACGGAATGATGAGTCACAATGTGGGACAACATATAGTCAGAAGTGAGACAGAGGAACAAGGAATCACGTGGTGAGACAGGGAATCGATGGAATTTCATGATTAAGACAACCTCAACTAACAATTAACGCTCTAGTTTCAGTATAAGAAACAACATAAGCAATAAGAGTCATGTAACCTTAAAAAGAATAACTAAAATATAACCTAAACGCACATTTAATCATAATAAGAAACAATATAACCAAATTAAAAGGCACGGAACATTAACTAAAGATAACTAATATAACGCTCAACTACATTTAACCATGTATAAAAAACCATATAACGCATTAAGAGCACGTAAGCCATCGTCCATATTCGAGTTGGCACACTCACCAGATGTGTGATGATGACGGATGCCTCAATCGCCATCAAGTGACACGAGATGGCTGACAGAGCGGCTTATGTCTCGATTATGTCGATCAAATCAGACGCAATTGTTCTCCGTCTGACATCTCGCTGTTGATGCCCACTGTCTAGACCGGCAAGCCCCGCAGCTGTTTCCTGTCCGTCGCACACGAATGTTTCCTGTCTGTCCGGCGTGATCTAGTTCAATCTCCCACCGCTTCGCTGCTGCTAGCGGGACGCTCGCTGCCTGTTGCACAGATTTCGGCGGAGAGCGTTTTTCGAGCGCCGACATCCCCCCCCCCCCCCCCCCCCCCTCCCCCGGCGCGCGGTTTCCCCTCCAGAGTGGCAAACCCAGTGGTGGATGGTGTCGGCATCCACCATGCAAACCAGGTGGTGAAATCATTGCATTCACAACGCACTACCAGCTGTGGATCGGCAATCTGCCGCATACATCAGACCCACGGATAACGCGCGCTCGTATGCCGCTCGAGCGCCTGCAAGGCCGGCAGGTGGGGCGAAGTTTCTCCTTTTGGGCCGGCGCCAGAGTGCGGCCAGGGCAACCGCCCTCGCTCGCTCCCGCGCGTGACAGACTCCGCTTCTGCTCCCCCCGCCGCGCTGCGCGCCGTCGCGCGTCGGCTTCACGCGTGGGAGTGGTCCGCTCGGCGGCCATTGGCGACCAGGGCCTTGCGGCCCGCCTCAGGTGACGAGCTCTGCTGGCTTTGCGCTTCCTGCCGGAAGGCTGAACAAAGAATCTCCACGCGGGCCTGCGTGATTCGGCGCGGTGCGATCGGACCGTTGCTCCTCTGTTCCTGCACAGTCGGAGCTCCGCCCCTTCGGATTATCACCCTCATTAAGGTGTCGCGCCCTTTAGGTTTCGGCAAGTCGGCCCCGTCCCTCTCTATTCTCGGAAATCAGATTATGCCGAGTGCGTTTTCCGACGTCGGAGCATGCGCCTTCTGTTTGGCCATGCACATCTCTCCTTTTCGTTTTTGTACGAATCAAGATGCCACGGTCCTGGCCGTTTTCAAAACCCGGTCAATATCTGCGGGCGATTCACATTTTACGAATCAAGGTGTTGGCAGCTTTTTCATCCAATCCGATGTCGTGCCTCGGTTGTCTCAAATCGCCAGCAGCTCAGTTTCCGTAAATCAGAGTCTTCTCCTTGTAGCTTGGCACGTTGTGAGCTCGCGCATTCCTGACGGCCTACGATCCGCTGTCTGGTGATCCGTTCCAACAGAATCGTCGTCGACCGCCTGCATGCAACTATCAGCGCAAATATCCCCCCACCATGTTTTCTACAAGCTGCGCAGAGGGCGGCTGCTCAATTCTACCTGTTGTCTGGCGACGCCACGTCATCGTCGTCAAATCCGACGTGCAGTCCCACAGTAGATGGTGTCGGCGAGGATCACGGTTAGAGAGGGACTACAGCAAGAGACGTCAAATGGTCTGGCGTCAGAAATCAGGCTCTGGCAGGGTGTATGGAATCAGGGGTCGTTGTGCTGCCGGTATGTTTTTAGAAGGCTTTCTTCGGATTGTGCCTCAATTTTACCGCGAGTCGCAGACCGTACGCTGTATTCTACCAGAGGTCGCACATGTTATCTTACATTGTGAGGGGCCGTGGCGTTCGGCCCGCGCATTCATCAGAAGTCGTGAGTTTGTGTCGGTATACTTATCAAAGTCATGGTTCGTGTTCGAGTACCTCGTATCAGAAGTCGTTGGGTTGTGTCCGTACTTTATTAGAGATCGTGGGTTTGTGTCCGACTGGTATTACAGAGGTCGTGGTCGTGTCAGTCTTTCTCAGAAGTCGATGGTTGTGTCGTACTTATATCAAAGAAGTCATGAGCTGTGTCCGTACTTTATCAGAGTCGTGGGCGGGTCAGTAGCTATATCAGAAGTCGTGGTCGGTGTCGTCCTTTATCAGATAGTTGTGGGTCTGTATCTGTACTTTATCAAACGATCATGGTCGTGTCCGTACTTGATTAGAAGTCGTGGCTCGTGTCATACTTTATCAGAGGTCGTGAATTGTCTGTGTCAGTACTTTATCAGAAGTCATGGGCCGGATCGGTACCTTTATCAGGGGTTCGTGGGCCTGCCCAGCGCTTGTATCAGAGGTCGTGCCCAGGCCGGCGTGCTTCCCCAGAGCTCATAGCGAGCTCGCATTTTGTCGGAGCTCGTGAATGCTCGTGGCTGCCCCTTCGACGGGGGTCGCGGGGCAGCGACTCCCATGGCTGGCAATGACACATTGGCGGGTCAAAACAGCTTTCTCGACGTAGAACGGACAACACTTGGCAGCATATTCTCCTGCCTGTCGGCATCACTCGCGGGCGGCGCCCGTCCGCCCAACTGTTTCACACCTGTCTTAAGAACTGCTGCTGTTGTGCTAATGCAACATGCTGCTGCGCGACTGTTAAATAAACTGCCTGAGGACTGCTGCTCTTGCTGGCTATGCTGCGACTGCCGGCTGCGGGCAGACTTATAACACTGCTTGGACTGCTGCGGCGACTGCCGCCTGCCGCGACTGTTAACACCTGCCTTGGGACTAGCTGCGCGACTGCCGCCGCCGTGACTGTTAACACCTGCCTTTGGACCTGCTGCTGCGGCGACTGCCGCCGCCGCGGACTGTTAACACCTGCTTGACTGCCGCTGTGTACCTCTTGCGACTGCTGCTGCGCACTGTTAACACCTGCCTTGGGAGCTGATGCTCTTGCTGCTGCTGCGACTGCCGCCGGCCGCGACTGGTTAAAGCCTGCCTTTTGACTGTCTGTCTGTTGTGGCTCTTGCGAACTGTCCAGCCGCCGCGAAACTGTTAAACACCTGCCCTTGGGAAATGCGCTGCGACTGCCACTGCCGCGACAAGTTAACACTCCTTGCCTATGAACGCTGGCTGTTGTTGCTCGTTGCGCACTGCCGCCGCCCGGCGAACTGTTAAACACCTGCCTGGACTGGCTTGCTGGCGACTGCGCCGCGCGACTGTTACACCTGCCTTGGAACGGCTGCTCTGCTGCGGCGTGCGACTGCCGAACGCCGCGACTGTTAACACCTGCCTGGGACTGCTTGGCGCGACTGCTCGCTGGCCTCGCCGACTGTTTAAACAACCGCCTTGGAACAGCTGCCTGTGTTCTCTTAGCGACTGCGCTGCCGCGACTTTAAACACCTGCCTTGGGACTGCCTGTTTTCCCTTGCTGGCGCTGTGACATGCTCTGCCGGCGACTGTAACACCTGCCATTGGGACTGCTGCTGTTGTTGCTCTGCGACTCGCACGCCGCCGCGCTGTTAACACCTGCCTGTGGACTTGCTGCTGGGCGACTGCCGCGCCGCCGCGACTGTTAACACCTGCCTTGGTGACCCCTTGCCACCCTGTCTGTTGTTACCTTGCGACTGCTGCGCTGCCGGCGACTGTTAAGCACCTCCTGGAACTGCTGCTCTGCTGCTGCTGGCGACTTGCCGCCGCGGGGGGCGACTGTAAACACCTGCCTTGGACTGCTGCTGCTTGTTGGCTCTTAGCGACGCCGCCGCCGCGCGTGTAACACCTGCCTTGGACTGCTGCCTCGGACTGCACCATGCCGCGACAGTTCACACCTGCTGGAACATGCTGCTGTGTGCTCTTGCGACTGCCGGCCGACCCCGCGACGTTAACGACTGCACTTGATCTGCTGCGCACGATGCCGCCGCCGCGACTGTAACACCCGGCTTGGAACTGCGCTCTTGCTGTCTGCTGCGACTGCCGCCGCCGCGACTGTTTAACACCTGCCTGTGACTGCTGCTGCGACTAGCCGCTGCCAGCGACGTTAACACCTCTTGGAGCGCGCTGCTGTTGTTGCTCTTGCGACTGCCGCTGCCGCGACTGTTAACACCTGCCTTGGGACTGCTGCTCTTGCTGCTGCTGCGACTGCCGCTGCCGCGACTGTTAACACCTGCCTTGGGACTGCTGCTGTTGTTGCTCTTGCGACTGCCGCCGCCGCGACTGTTAACACCTGCCTTGGGACTGCTGCTGTTGCTGCTGCTGAGACTGCCGCCACCGCCACTGTTAACAACTGTAGTGGGACTGCTGCCACTGCTGCTCGGTGTGTCCAGTACGAACAAGCCACCCGCGTCCTCTAGCGGGTCGTGCGCACTGCGGCCAGAAGCTGGAGAGGCTGAAGCCTGGCTGCAGGGCTTCACACAGACGACGTCTTCGACAGCGACGCGATGACCGCTGTACCCAGCAATCCTCCGCTCTCCGATCAGAGGAGCGTCTGCACTGACTGCCGCTCGACGATCATCTACCGCTTCGTCTTTGCCTACGCTCAATGACCAACCTGAGGGACGAAAGGATGTGGCGGCTTGCTTGGACGTCATCGGCTGGGCGGCGCTCGCACGGAGGTCGCCGAGGAGAGGCGGAGACGAGGCGAGCGTCTTGCTGTCGGTCGTTCCGCAGGGTGTCGTCGTGGAAGGTGACGCCGTTAGATTCTCTACGGTCCCTCTGTCGACACACATACGTGAAAACTATTGACATACAAATTATAATTTAAAAAATGTACAAATTTTATAATTTATCCAAAAATTTTTTAATTGATATTATTATATTATCGTGTACTGATAAATAATTGAAATAAATTATGTTAAAATTAAAAAGTTTAAACCAATGCTAATACATAACCTTCAATACACAATTCCAACACATAAACATCGTGTCGAGGCACAAACTGCACCTTGTGTAAAATTGGTATTCTCAACTTCTAATAAATTATTATTAAAAAAATTATTATAACTGATTATTCTTATAAAATTATTTTTACAAAACAAGTGTAAATACTGGTTGACGAACGACTTAAAAAGTCTGTGATCTTTCACCAGAAATAATCTTCGGACGCAAGCGCTTACCTGTGTAGCAATTCAAGTGAGTTTAGATTGAGACGTTCGACCTCCTTGTCTATGTGAGGCTTCGTCGCATAGTTGTCTCGATTTAGAGCAAACCCTGTGTAAGTGCCTCCATCTATTTATAATTTTATAGTATAGAGAAGATAAATGGTCATAAATAAATGCAAAACGTATTACTTCGTTATACTTGCATGCTTTATGAAGTTTAGCACGTGAAATGTCAAGCATACAAGAGCTTTATAACATCAATTTTTAGCAAGGCATCTCAATTTCCTACGCTGGGCATCGCTTTGTATTCGCAATGTCACTCATACGTAGTTACTTATTTGTCATAACCCAAACTACCCATCAAAATCACTCTGACTATATTGTTGAAGATTTTTTGAGTGTGCTACTAGTTGATTACATTTAAAAATATACAGTTTGATTTACTATTAAGTATAAACATGAAAAAATATTTAAAGGTGACCTGAGGAGCCATATAACTGAAAGAGGAGAGCTTGGAATTTGTCTTAGCAATCCAAAGCTATTGGTTGCATTGCTTCTTTATTGACAGGGAGCAAAATGTGCGCATTTATGAACACACCTTGTGTCTTATTAGCTGCGGAAGGCATCAAGTAACCAATGGCTACTTCAGATGCCAGGAAGGGATGACAAGCAGCACCACATGGTGTCAATCTTTCTCCTGCAATACAAAATGTATGTCCTGCACATAGTCAGCCAATATATGTGACAGTCACATACACGCACTCACTCACACGCACGCACGCACACACGCACATACACACACATAATAAGAGGATATATATGCATGCCCAATATCTCAAAATACAAACATGCATATATTTCACATTACCATGTAAAGGCCAGTACACTACCCCACTTGTGTCCCGCATTTAAATTGTGGAGAACAATGTATAATGTGCTATGCGTATCTCCTGACACCGCTACCCTAATTGGCCTGGTATCAGATGAGACACAGAAATTTTGAACTCACGTGGATCGTATGCTAACATGCCTTCAATGAAGGTGGCAAACGCAAAATTGCGTGTATTCTTTAGTCTTGTCATTAGTCGCTTACATCTGATAACTGAAAATAAGGAATTAGTATTAATTTACTGCTGCTGCATTACTTCGCCCATAATGGTATATATTCACTCATATTCTATTAGTAAGGACATTACCTTACCCAGATTTGCAAAAGCAATATGATTGGAAACAAGTCAGCTTTTACATATTTTAACTTTAAACAAACTAAATCAATAAGATAACTACCTGAATTTAGGTGTGTCACAATTTAGTTATGACTCTGATGCTTTCCTAAGTAACCCACTACTAACCACCACTAATTCTATGTAAAAAAAGTACTGTAATATGCAGTTCTTCTAATATTCTACCTCATCTATCATAGAAATGCCATAAATACTACTATGAAGGTTACGTATGATGCAACACACATTTGCTTCCTACATGCTCATTCTGTATACAAACAGCTCAATACATTCGCTGTTAACCAAGTATAGTAATTAGCAGACTCGTAGATGCAAATATAATTAAAGCCAGTGAAACAAACACAATTAGTAACATGCATTTCCTGATTCTTACTCTGTGGCATAACAGTGTCCAACGTGAAGGACTGTAGTAGACTGAAGTACTTGCCTCGCTGGAATACAGTCATCGGAAAAGCACCAAGCAGCTCAACTGTCTGAAAACACACATATATATATATTATTTGGGTTTTATCCTCGAATCTGGCAGGCATGCACAAAGAAGCTCACATCTCTTGAACCACATTTACTCTCTCTGCATGGAACCCATGTCTAATGCAACTCCCACGCCTTGGGGTGACCCACAAACATGAACACACAACTCAACAACCCCAACTCAAAGACACATGCATTCACCGAGATACATACATGCACACACGCATGAACACACACAAACACACATACGCACACATACACACGCACGCACGGACGCACGCACGCGCACACACACAGGGTGCGAAATTAACGGGAGTCTGGAGTCAAATACTCCCCGATTTACTGTCGGACTCCCTGATTTGACATAATATGCAGGAGTCCGTGTGACTCCCTGAAAATTCTGCTATACTAACTAGTTTTGTTGCGGAGCACAGCCTTGCGGAATTACTGCATTTTTTAAGCTAATGTCCAAAGAAAATTTGGCAGACGGGCAACATTTTTTTGTGCTCATTTTTCTGCGGACTCCCTCTTTTTGAGGGTAGGGAGTCCGTTAGACTCCCTTGTTCAAAAGTTAATTTCATGCCCTGCACGCACGCACGCACGCACGCACACACACAAACACACACACATACATACACACAATCTGACTCATGCATGCTTACACCACACACACTCACCTGCACACATCCACACCATAACATGCACTTCGACACACCTGCTCTATTTTTGCAGCTGCCTGAATTGACTATTTACAATGGTGAGTTAAACGTACCTCTGACAGTATTGCCTCCTTATTCTTGCCAAAAAATAGTGGTTTTCCCAGGTAGAGCTCAGCAAGGACGCATCCCAAAGAATACATGTCGATTTCCGAGCCAAACGGAACCCCAAACATAACCTGCACCGAACGATGCTGATCTTAGAATCAACCAAAGCAATTTACCTGGACAAGCTAGCATCCAAAACAATAAAATGCAATGTACTACACTTCATCTTTCAACTATAGGCTACGTGGTCCTACAGAATTCTAACCCGACTTGTCGTAGAATAGAAATAATCGAAATAAGTGAATTAAGATACGTACCTCTGGAGCTCTGTACAAAGGTGTCTGTAGGTCAAAATCGTTGTAGTAGAGCGATACCTCCTTGTGAATGCAGTAAAGGGCATTGCCGAAATCAATGACCTTCACTGACGTGAAATCATTTTCTACGTAAGTGTACATAGAGAGTTAACTGCACAATAGGAATCACAATCAAGCCTCACTTGCAGAGCAAATTTGTAGATGGACAGGTTAAAACTACATTTAGCCAGAATGCACATATTACTTAATAAAGACGTGGTGGTTAGGTTGGTGATCTGACTGGGTACTTTAAAGATGTCAGCATCAGATATTTTCATCCTGGATATGAGCATGGAGACAAACGTTAAGAGGTTTTCGTGCACTGACTGACATGGATCAGACACTGTGCACGTTGAATGCCACACACCTGTCGTCAGCAAAATATTATCAGGTTTCAAGTCTGCGTGGGCCACGTTTTGCTGCTGCAGAAATCCCAGCGTAGAAAGCAGTTTCACAGCGACCTTCCGGAGACGTCTGATTACCTGCAACGTGTGCGAGAAGGCGATGATGATACTCGTAGTAGAGGGCCGTTAAAAGACACTCCACAGCTTATGGCTTGCCTCGCCCACACTTCATACTAGCATTCGTGGATTTTGGTGCCAGGTTTTAAAGGGATTCTGACATCTATAGCGTATTTAGCCTATTATATGACATTGTAATTACTTTTAAACATGTTTCCTGACATTTTTAGAACATATTATGATCAAACCTGCTTTTGATTATGTCTATGATCGATCTTGGGCTACGCCAACTTTTGTACAGGCCGCCATAATTCTCCCGCAATGCCTTGCATGTTTGTTGAGTGGCGCGCGCTCACTTGTTTCGCACATTGGAAATGGGTGAACTACGTGTTTACGTATCTTCTGTCAGTTCTGAATCGGACAGTAGGCCCCCGAGGAATTTCAATATCTGACTAAATCTGCCACCAATTTTGCACCGTACGGTACTCTTTTGAGCCCGAGTGGAAAGATCAGGAGGAACGAGTAGCAGACGGTGTTGGTGATTCGCTTCAAGTTCAACACCGTAAAACCTTCAGCCTCGTATATGTTTCAGTTTTTCAATTAGAATTTTCGATGGTAGACAAGCATGCTGAGTTTCTGATGCAAATTTGCTGCTAGGGTAGATACAATAATGGCTATAACTGGCTATAATTGGCTATAATGCTATAACTGGCTAGATACAATATTCAATGTAACCCAACACAGAATAGGCTCTAGCATAGAGTCTATTCCCTATAGCCTAGGGCCTATATAGCCTAATATACTGGCTATAACTGCTATAACTGGCTATAAGTATAATGGCTAGATACAATAATGTAACCCAACACAGAATAGCCTAGGGTCTACGTTTAACACATGGCAGGGTCTAGGGTCAACGTCAACACAGGGTGGCCTAACCCAACGCAGGGTCACATTCTAACCCAACCCTGTGTTGGGTTACGTTGTATTTAATTACTTCCCTGCTAAGGACGATCAGCCAAAAGGTTACTTCGGCATACGCTGGCTACAGTACATGCTACAGCTATGGGATGCTGGCCCCGGATGCAATGATTGATGACAGAGCAATAATTATAACTTTATAAAATACGTTATAAGTAGAGTACCCAATCCCTTTGACATAAGTATATTATTTATATATAGTATAAGTGACAATTTGCTATGTTGACTTAGATGTTACATGTGACTGGATAATCTACTTTGACTGCATACACCCCTATCTGAATATATGTGCTGCAAATATAGAAATCTTAAAAATTAAATTAGCATTTATAATTTGTTTGGTTTGACATTGGAGTAGTCTTTTAAGTTTTATTTCTAGCATCTTAGCTAATACAATTACACGTTTAATTTACAATAAACACCATAAAAGAAATATAAAATGACAGTAGTTATATACGTGTGTTATTTTCCTCTGGTATATGCATGAACTGGGCACTCACATTGGTAGAATAGCACACAAATGGAACACACTATAAGGTTTGTATTACAGGACTGGCAGATGAAAGGGAGTGTTGAGACAAGCAAATAATTCATAAACATACTCTTATATGGTTGCCCTGGTACACTGTTGTAAAGGGCATTTATTATATATACATTATAACAGTTCAATAACTTATGCAGCACTCAGTATATGATGTCCACCCATCGAAGCATGAGAAATTAGTGCATCTAATAAGGTGTATCTAATGTCATGTCAACAAACAATTTCATACCTAATATAGTTTGTAGCAATGTAATGAATTAATTAGGATACATGTTTAATGTCAGATTAAAATAAAACAATATTCATGCATTTGTATTTCTGACACATTCAGATGGATATTTTTTATACTATACCAATTTCACAGATTTGATTGATCTCCTTAAAACATGTAATTAGAAAATAATGTTAACGTGTTCACAGATTCAGTGGGGACACTCATCACTCATCACTCAGCATTATAGACAGTGTATAATTAACTAGATTTATTGTTATTTAGTTGTGAATTCCACACGGTACTGTGGCCTGTACTGCACGTTACAGTGCATGTCAGCACCATCCCCTTGCTGAAGATTTTCTCAATACACATCACTGGCGCTCCACAAACCGGGCACCTTTTCATCAGTTTGTCAATGCACTGTTCGAAACAGACAAACTTGTGCTCTGTGATGAGTCTGTTGACGTTACTCATCTCATCATCCATCTCATCCATGCCAGCAAAGGACTCAGAAGAAGACCCTGAAGAAGGTGGAAGATATTATGATCCACTTGACATTACCTGCAGATAACAAATTAATATTAGTTGCTTGCTACATTAGTAGGTTGCTATATAAGTTGGGCGACCTTCATGAAACGATAACCATGCAATGTCAAAGATGGTATCTTGGTAAAGGCTGGTTGATATAGCATATATATATACATATATATATATATACATTATGAGCATACATTTTGAAACATTACACTGGGATATCTATATGCAGGGGTGTATCCAGGATTTTTTCTGGGTGGGTCGTGATCATAATTTTTTGGACCTTTTCACAACGCAATAGCAGCAAGATGTGTTTACAATGTCGATACAAACAGGGGCGTGTACAGGATTTGTACCAGGGGGGGGTCTAACCGTAACCCAAACTTGGTAGCACGCGAAGGGGGGGGGGTCTGGGGGGCCCTCCCCCAGAAAAATTTTGAAATTAGACCTCCTTAGATGCGTTTTCTGCGCGAGCAGGGGGGGGTCCGAATCCCCTGGACCCCCCTGTACAC